ATTCCTTGGCGTGGGGCCCTTCTTCCCACCAGCCTCTAACCCGATCTGACCAGACCCTCATCATCGTCAACACCACTACCACATCACCACCTCAAGAAACATCAAAGAACATCCCGGAACATTTCAATTACTGTTACTAGATCCATAATTTCTACAGTATCGCAAGTTCCTCGAATCGCAGTTCCCGTTCCGCCATTGCAGCCCGAATACATGCCACCGGCCGGCCAAGGCGAGGAAGGAGCGACCAAGAGTATTATTGATAGATGACGACATTGTATTCAAAATTATTGGTGCAGTTTGCCGACGGGCAATACGGAGCCAAGTCGGACACTCAACACCGACGGAATCCACACCGATCAAAACACCCGCCGCCAGACCCTCTGATACTTTCTTTGTCATAGTTGGGTTGAGCATAACATGGCGTCAAATAGGTCGACCCACCTATAGCCGCCTTTTTCCCTTTCCCAAGTGCTCATGTGAGCAGAGACACTTGGCGGAGAATATTTCCCGGACTTCCTCTGTCGAAAAGCAAAAGGAACTCGGGAAATCGAGGGGTGTCGTTGTCCGCGTGAACAATGCTGCACCGACGAGCACGAGTGTCGGGCCCGATATGTTTTATTCTACACTTGAGATGATGCTTTATATGAGTATGCTACACATTTCGTTGTCGCCGAGCCTCTCGTAAAATCATCCAATAAGGTCGCCTTCTTTAACCTCATCATGTCAACACTAAGAGTGAACAAAGGGCCACGAAGCGCCACCGCGACCTAACAGACTGGGAGACCACACGTGGTTGGATCTTTGTTCGCGACCCAGATATGAAGTCATACTTCTTGGCCATTCTGGTCCTACGCCCCCGTTCCACCGGGTCCAACTCAACTTGTTCCCCTTGGCTCGACAGGCATTGGCGCAAAACAGCTCGGCAACATGGATGGGACGCCGAAATATGCCCCGACAGCGATATTCGACATCACCCACGCATGCCTTCTATCCTTTGACCGGATTGTGGCAAACTCTGATAAATCTGTACTCACGCGGCCCTTAGTCTCATCTGCAGGTACCGCCAAACGATACGCCTCTGATTTCATCGGTCTGCACAACAGCTTCTTGCTCTAGGTCGACTATACGAGAGCCTTGTCCTCAGTGAGCTCTTCGCTGGATGCCAGGCTACAAGGACGACAAGACTTGGCGGGCGTGTTCGTCGACTTCTTGGAAGCGTTGCTACAGAATCTGAACTCGCTTACCGCATCTTCTTCTTCGGTCGACCGGAGGCTGGCAAACCGTCCAACTTTTCCCCAAGTCCAACTGATGAAACATGGGAGGACACCACATAGGCCATCGAAACTTCCCTGAACCGGCTACATTTCTTGACTGTAGCTATCAGAAAAACAGCAAGACAGTTCGACCGTTCACCGGGAACTCTCGCCCCTGACGACGACACGGGATTTCGCAAACACGTGGCGTCTTGGGTGCGATCCCACTTTCCGACCGCTCGCAAAGAGCTCTGTCAACAACTAGGCGACTCGATAGCAATATGGCGTCAGATCCTGCTCCAAACCGCCCGTCAAGCGCGAGTCCTTGCGATCAGACGCGAGCTAGCCACACTGACAGTAACCACGCAACCTGTGTTTCGAAACCCCGGCACCTCAGCCGAAGACGCTCCAGCAGCAGCGAACACCATATCAGCAACCCACGACAACAACTTCTCATACCCCCCCATGCCCAAGCCTCGTCCAGGCGACACATGGATCCGCCGTCCCTTTTGCCTCCGACCCATGGAGCGCAAACAACCCGAGACGCGAGACCACCACTGATGAAACCACATCGACGAGCATCTCGAGCCCTACGGCTGTCCCTACCCCCAATGCTCCGAGTCTCGCGTCTGCTTCTCGCACTGCAGCCAGTGGAAAATCCACATGGGCGCAAACCACTCCAGAGACTGGGTCCGCAGGGTGCACGCCCGGAGGATATGGTACTGCGATATCGATCACGATCCTCCACAAAGATTCGAGACGAAACACCAGTGAAGCGAACACATGCGGAATCTCGCCTCGCATTCAAAGCGGAAACTCAACCCACCTACGCAGGAACAGCTGGATATATTGTCTGCGAGGAAACAACGACTCATTCTCAGGGGCAAGTTCGTCTGTCCTCTCTGCCAGCAGATACCCGAGGAAACTCGACAGCAGGTGGAAAAACGGCAAGGGGATAGGCGCAAAGCGCATTCGTTTGTGGTTGATCATATTGCCAATCACCTCAAGGCGTTGTCGTTGATGGCGCTGCCGCCCCTTGAGGATGTCACTGACATTGGGATGGTATCCCTGGACGATGGGCTCAGGCCACTGAGACAGCTCCCCCAGATGCATACCGGGTTGGATTTTCTCGATCACCAGGCTACATCGTGGTCTTCTAGTCCGGGCCGTCGACAGGACTCTCGCGGTTCGGCGTCTGCTGATCAGCAGCATGGGCATTGGGATAGGGAGTATCATAACTATAAGCGGCCGGATGAGCTACCCGAGCATTCAGTCATTCGGGGTTGGTTCGAGGACTGGAAAATGTGGAGGGCGGAGAAAAGGGGGTGTTCACTGAGGAGACCAGGGCTTCGTGAGTCAGATCCAATGCTGATGCATCTTGCTGAAACGAAGAGCGCTGAGTCGTCTGGGCGGGGGTAGGGAAACTGGATGCGCGTGAAAAAAGGAGGTCATCGCTTTATAGTAATGTGAAATCACCTTGTTCAGATAGATCAACAAGCAACGATGCGCTCAAATACCTGTTCACTACTTGCCAATCATGTTTAAATCAACATTCAAAATCACCTGCTAACCACCACCATCCTTTGGGTATACTTCTGTCAAGTGTATGAGCATCCCTTTTTATCTATTTGTGTGACCCGTTTATTTGATCACCTCCCTAAAAAATAGTCCCGTCACTCCTCAACAAAATCGGACTCGACTTTGTCGCCGGTCTCTTCTGCGCAGCAACCTCCCGTCCAGCCTTCCACGTCCCAGCCTCCAACAGCTGCGCCATACTCAACCCGCCAATCTTGTCCCTGATCCTCCCATACAACTTATCAATCAGCACCAGCGTCATAGCCCTCCACTCAACGATTGTATCATCCCCCGCATCGAAGAGCGGCAAGTCGCCACCACCACCAGCCGCCGCCGCCGCAGCCAAACCCCGATCCAGCGTCTCCTTTTTCAGAGCCAGCACGCCTAGATCGACGAATAGGCCACCGTTGCGGTACTCTGGCAACGCGGTGAGGGAGTCCTCGTTTGTCCAGGTTTTGTTGAGCACACGCTGGAAGGGGACCATAAGGGAGTAGGTGAGCCATTGGGTTAGTTTGTGGAAGGGTTGGATGCCATCGTCAGCGTGGCTCTGGAGGATACGCAAAGGCCAGGCGTCGCCGATGGGGGTGCCGGCTATGGTTGTGCGGTTCTTGGGCCAGGCTGGGATGAGCAGGGTTTGGAGGACGTCCCAGAGGGTTAGGACGTCGAGGGGGGATGAGCCGGCGGATCTCAGGAGGTGGTCTGTCTTGTTAGCTTGGGAGATTGTGAATAATACGGGGGGGGGGCGGTACATACCGACGAGATTTCCGGGACGGCCTTCAGCGCCGAAAATATCGGGATGAGACAAAAGGGATTGGCCCAGACTGCGGAGGAGGGCTGCACGGGAGTCGATACCTAGCATGGGATTCGTGTCGGAGACTTGGAAGCCGGTTGCCAGGGCGGTGGTTTCTAGACTTTCTAGACCCTTTCCTGCGTGTTGCTTAGCACGGTAGTCGTCACTGAGGGTGTGTTGGACATACCATTCACGATGGGAACACCTTTGTCTCCTGCCGCGAACGCACGCCGCTTAAACATGTCCAGGCTCGCAACCGCGATGCCCTCGCTCCGCTCGTACACATCGCCGCTTCCCGGCTCTGCATACCGCCAGTGGTCACCGGCGCCCGCATCAAGAAGAACGGACACGAAAAACAGGTCGATCAGACGCCGCGTCACTTCGATGTCGTCGGTACCTTCGGTCTTCCACTGAGCCAGCAGGTTCGCGATGCGCGGGATGCCGCCCACTTCAAAGTGCTGCCATCGGCCGTGAGGGGGGATGGTGTGGAATTTGTCTGGGCCGAAATCTCGCTGTCGGGGGGGATTTAGCCACTTAGCTTATCGGGATCGTGATACCTTATGCGTGGACAGACCTTGATGACAGACGCCACAAAATCCACCACATCATCTAGTTTGTCTTCGTGCACGTCAAAGTGGGACAGCTTCCCGGCTGCTGCAATCTCACCGACTATGGTGGCGCGGTCCCGGATGGCGCGCAGGGAGAGGAGGTATCTCACTTGAGGGTCCATGATGAATGTAATTCCGGTTAGGTGAGAGTGTTCACGGGGATAGTCAGGAAGAACGGTGAGGGTGGGAGAGTCTTGCGGTGGGTAAGATATGAGGAGAACTTAGAATGGTTGACATAATAGCTAGTCCCAACCAACGCAGGGCGACCCGACCCGATCCGACACGGACGCAAACAGTCACGAGTTGACGATTGTGTTGCACACCGATTGGTTGGATTGCAGGGAGACACTCCGCTTGATTTCCAGGTTGCTCGGGACCCCTAACCCTTTGGTTGTGTCTTGATCTGTTTGTAGCTGGTGTCGGGTCGAGTAGCGCTGCGTCGGTTCATTGTTGGTGTGGGCTTGTTACCGACGAGAACTTGAATGGCGGCTCAGCCGGGTGTTGGTCACCACTTGGACTCGGTGCAAGTGAAGCACTCACACTGTCTTGGGAGTCTCTACCTCGGGTTTGCATGTTGAAAGTGCAGATTGTCTAGGATACTCAGATGAAGAAACATGCGCTGCACAGTAAAGCGAGGAAGCAAAGACGAGGGGGCATTTAAGAACAACCCAATACCAAATTCGTCGTTGAGTTTCGAGGTTGCAAAAATCGTGGACAACCCGCCCTGAGGCCATATGTGCGTCTAAGCCGCCGTCTCCTATTAGTCATAAACCTGGCACTATGGCCGAGTGGTTAAGGCGGTAGATTTAAGTTGAGAGAACCAGCTCTAACTCCTCTACTCTCGAAAGAGGCGTGGGTTCGAACCCCACTGGTGTCATCCTTTTTGGAAAATCCGTTCTTTTTGAACTTGTAAGATGACTGGGAAATGGTTGGAGGCGGTTGGAAACGGCCCCCTCGGTACGCTACTTTCTTTTTGGGCATTTTCTTGTCAGACGGCCAGGGGATACGCGGTGCGGGGTTCATTTGCTTGCTGGGAAACAGTTGTTGGCTAGGAAGAAACTTTCAACTGGCTGTGTGACCCCTGAGTGATTGGTTTGCAAGAAATATTGGATGGACTCAAAGTTTTGGATTCGACGACAGTTTGCCATCGTCCTCGTCAAAGAAACTATTTGCAAGTCTCAACTTGAATCCAAACCCACGGCCCCCAAACTGAACAAGGATCATAGTCAATATACAGCGGGGCAAGCACGTGCCGATAACCTTATTCAGTGGAGACGCCGCTATCACAGCGACATTCTCAACGGTCAATCGCCCCAAAAAAATCTTGTCGCAAACAGCAGCAGCTGCCCGTTAGCCGCCAGAATTTGGTCTTCCCCTACGGCAACATCCAATTCTTACCCAAACCCGCCGAAGAGACCGTACCCAAAATGGCCAAGAAAAGAAAGGCCTCCCGCAAATCGGAGCCGACAGGGCCCCGCGACATTGACGCCAAAGACGCCCGTCTCACCATCAAAACCTACCAAGACGTAGCGAACTCCGAAGACGAATACTATGCCGAGAAAGACCGAATTGATTTCGACTCGGACGATGATGGTGGCGGTGGTGGCCGACGGTCCAAGAAGAGAAAGAGACAGCAAAAGGAGGAGGAGTTCCTAGAGGCTTCGGATGAGGAGATCTTGGCAGATGACGATTCTGAAGAAGACGAAGGCGAAGACGAAGACGAAGATGTAGAGGAAGTCCCGAAAAAGAAGAAAAAGGGTGGGAAAAAGGCGGCCGATCTCCCGGATGACGAGGACGAGGCGCTTGTGGGTGATGAGGAGGAGGGTGATGAAGGGTGGTGGGGATCTGAGAGGAAGGAGTATTATAATGCTGATGCGATTGAGACTGAGGCTGATGCTTTGGTATGTTGGTTGCTTCTGTTACATGGTTGAGGGTATGCTGACGGTTATACAGGAAGAAGAAGCCGAGGCGCGCAGGTTGCAGGCGAAGAAGCTTGCCAAGATGCAGGAGGCTGATTTCGCTTTTGATGAGGCTGATTGGTCTGCGCCAAAAGAGCAAGCCGGGGATGATGAGGAGGTTGTTGTGGAGGTGTTGAACGAGGTGGAGATCACCGAGGACATGAGCCCAGAGGAGCGATACAGGATATTGCAGGCGCGTTATCCCGAGTTTGACTACCTGGTGGATGAGTTCAGGGACTTGCGACCGCTTCTCGAGACGGCACAGAAGGAGGCCGAGGGGAAGCCGGCAAAGTCGCTCGAGGTGGTCAAGTCGTGGATTCTCGGGTGCTATGTTGCCTCGTTGGCAAGTTACTTTGGCATTCTTACATCGCCAGCAAGGGATGGTGCTGAGTCGACCAAGACACTGAGTCCCTCGGAACTCAGGGAGCACGAGGTCATGGAGACGCTGATGAGGTGTCGGGAGGCTTGGTTGAAGGTCGAGTCGTTGCGATCAACCTCTACTGTCGCCGTGTCGGATTCCGGCATGCTCTCACCCCCTGAAGAGGACGAGGACGTGGACATGTCGGATGACATGGTTCCAACACCAAAGAAGGCGAAGAAGCTTTCCAAGGCTGAACGCAAGGCTCTGGAGAAGAAGAAGGCCGACAAAGCTAGGAAAGCCCAGGCGCTTGAGGAGTCACTGGCCAACATGTCGGCGCTCCTCAAGAGCACCAAGGCGGCTGGCAAGTCAGAGAGCGCAAAGGTCAGATTTGAAGAAGACGAAGACAACCGCTCCGACTTTGGTGACGAGGAGGCCCTTGATGCTCGCACAGCCGAGGACAAGGCTCGGCGGAAGAAAAGTCTCAAGTTCTACACTTCGCAGATCGTCCAGAAGGCTAGCAAACGCGCTGGTGCTGGTCGCGATGCTGGCGGTGACATGGATATTCCGTACCGCGAGCGACTGGTAAGCTACCCCTTTTCTACATGTTACCTGACTCGAATGGTGCCTAGCTAACTTTTTACCAGCGGGATCGGGCGGCCCGCCTCAATGCCGAGGCTGAGAAGCGCGGCAAGAAGAACAGCAAGCTTGGAGCAGATCTTGGAGGCGACGACGACAGCGACGCAGAGGCGGCTGTGGCCAACCAGGTGCGCGGGGACGAGGACGAATACTACGACATGGTGGCGCACAAGGCGCAGCAGAAGAAGGAGGACAAGGCTGCGCGGTTCGAGGCGGTTGCGGCGGCGCGCAAGGGCGAGAGGGTGGTGGAGGCGGCCGAGCTGGGGCCGGACGGCAAACGGCAGATCACGTACCAGATCCAGAAGAACAAGGGGCTGGCGCCGAAGCGCAAGAAGGAGGTGCGCAACCCGCGCGTCAAGAAGCGCATGAAGTTCGAGGAGAAGCAGAAGAAGCTCAAGACGGTCAAGGCCGTCTTCAAGGGTGGCGAGGGTCGTGGTGGGTACCAGGGAGAGCTGTCGGGCATCAAGACGGGGCTGGTCAAGAGCACCAAGCTGTAGATTTTCTGTCCATGTCAATAGAATCCCTCCCTGCCAGTCACATGATGTTGCCTGTTTTGGTCAGTTTAGTGGCGAACCTGCCGTCTCCGTTTCGGGGTCCCCGCAAATCCCGTTCCCCAGAATTTGGAACCGGGGGAAACTAGAGTCAGAGGCTGCAGGTAGAATGATGCAACAAACCTTTTTTTTTTTTTTTTTCCTCCCCAGCCGTTTTACATTTTCACGCCATTGACAAAACCTGTTCCGGTCACCAATTCTTTTTTTGTTTTATCAGGAACCATTCGTTTACAACAAACACAACAATCGCTTAAACAACCCACACTTTATTGTATCTCCAAAAGAACAATTACACTGGACCGGCCACGATGGCCCCCCCGATCGCCCAAATCCCGCTCGATATCGCCGCCATATCCGGCATCTGCGGCTCCATCAGCATCGCCTGCTGGGTCGTCGTGTTCTCGCCACAAATTATTGAAAATTTCCGTCGCTCCTCAGCAGATGGTCTCTCCATCCAGTTCATCATCGTCTGGCTGCTCGGCGATGTATTCAACATTCTCGGCGCCGTTATGCAAGGCGTTTTGCCGACCATGGTGATTTTGGCGATTTATTACACCATTGCCGACGTGGTGCTTCTCGCGCAGTGTTTTTACTATAGGGGGTTTACGTTGAGCGATGAGCCTGTCAAACCGGCACGCCAGAGCCGGGAGGGGGCCGGAGTGGATGAACGGACGGCTTTGATCGACGACAGGGAGAGGGAGAGGGAGAGGGAGAGGGAGGGGCATCGACATGGAAGTGAGGACTGGACGCATCTAAGTCCCGCTGTGCCCATGGTTGTTGATGAGCCGCCGCCTCCCCCGACAAAGACGCAGGTTGTGGTGTTGAATGGATTGGCGATTGTCATGGTTTGCGCGGCTGGAGTGGCGGGGTGGTGGTTGAGTCGGGAGTATGGAGCTGGATCAAGTGACAAACAAAGGGAGAGCTTGGAAATGGACTTCTGGGGCCAGGTGTTTGGGTGGTTGTGTGCCGTGCTGTATCTGGGCAGCAGGCTGCCGCAGCTGTTGCTGAATTGGAGAAGGAAGTCGACCGAGGGCGTGTCGATGCTGTTTTTCATGTTTGCGTGTTTGGGGAATCTGACGTACGTCTTGTCCATTTTGGCGTTCGAGCCAGAGTGCGATGGTGACCCGTGTCGCGAGGGAGAGGCGGCGGCGGTGTATTGGAGGTATATACTGGTCAATTTGTCGTGGTTGGCTGGGAGTGCGGGGACCTTGGGGTTGGACTTTGCGATTTTTGCTCAGTTCTTTTTGTACAGCAAGGGGGACGAGGAGGACAGTGAGAGCGAGGGGAGTGCGTCGGGGGATGAGGAGAGTGTGGATGATAGGGTGCATGATCAGAGGCCGTTGTTGCAGGGGAATCAGTCGGGTTTTGTTTAGTGCACACATAACACGGGTCATGTAAAAGGGGTTCGGAAAAGGGGAAATACACAACAGCTGCATTGTGTCTGCAACGCAAATGTCACCAGCATTACAACCATCCCAACCGCTTCCAGAGAAAACTCCCTCCTCCAACCAAGGCCGTCGCCCCAGTAAACGCGATCAAGCTCCCATACCCGCTGCCATATCCAGAATACGCCTCTCCCCGCCACGGATACCCCTTGACCAGCGCCTCACTCAACGGTCCAGAAACCACATTCCCAACTCCCCGCCCCGCCGCCAAAAACGCAAACACCATACTCGGATCCGCCCTTCTCTCTTCGTCTCTAGCCGTAATCTCCCTCATGATCCCCGGCCACGCCGACGTAAAACTGCCCGCAAAAAGCCCATAGACAACCGCAAAAAGATACAAGACTGCCAAGTTGGCCGCAAACCCCCACAGCAGAAAGCATCCCACCGTCGCTCCGGCCGTCGAAAGCAGGATGCAAACCGTCACATCCAGCCGATCAATCAGCCCGCCCATGGCCACACACCCAAACACACTCGCCACATTCAACAGCAACACACTCAGCGCGCTCTGCAACGCATCCCGCCCCAAAACGGCGCTCGCATAGCTAGGCAGATAAATCCCGGGCAGGAAAAAACCCATTGCCTCCACGATGTTGAAAACCTGATACTTCCAGAACCGTTTGTCGAGTAAAAACCGCAACCCCAATCTCCTTCCATTTCCACTGCCACTCCCAGAAGGCGAAAAGGGAACCCGCGGTTTAACAAACCAAACCAACGGCACCGACGCCGCAAACACCAACCCCCCCAATACTCTCAATGTAAACACATACCCATACCTCCCTAACAAACCCTCCAACGCCAACGGAAAGACAACACCCGCCAGTCCGGTGCCGCTCCACATGACGCCGTACGCCAACCCCTTTTTTGTAACGAACCATTCATCCAGGTAAACAATGCACGGCGAGTAGACCAAACTGCCGCCGATGGCG